AACTTCCCCAACCTAGCAAGGCAGGCCAATATTCAAGTCCAGAAAATACAGAGAACACCACAAAGATATTCCTCAAGAAGAGCAACCCCAAGGCACATAATCATCAGTTTCACCAGGGTTGAAATGAAGGAAAAAACACTACCGGCACCCAGGGAAAAAGGTTGGGTTACCCACAAAGGGAAGCCCATCAGACTCACAGGGGATCTCTTGGCAGCAACCCTATAAGCCAGAAGAGAGTGGGGGCCAATATTCAACACTTTTTTTTTTTTTTTTTTTTTTGAGATAGAGTTTTGCTCTTGTTACCCAGGCTTGAGGACAATGGCGCAATCTTGGCTCACCGCAACCTCTGCCTCCTGGGTTCAGGCAATTCTCCTGCCTCGGCCTCCCGAGTAGCTGGGACTACAGGCACATGCCACAATGCCCAGCTAATTTTTTGTATTTTTAGTAGAGACGGGGTTTAACCATGTTAACCAGGATGGTCTCGATCTCTTGACCTTGCAATCCACCCACCTCGGCCTCGCAAAGTGCTGGGATTACCGGCGTGAGCCACTGCACCCAGCCCTATTCAATATTCTTAAAGAAAAAAACTTTCAACCTAGAATTTCATATCCACCCAAACTTAGCTTCATAAGTGGAGAAATAAAATCCTTTACAAACAAGCAATTGCTGAGAGATTTCGTCACCACCAGGCCTGCCTTATAAGAGCTCCTGAAAAAAGCACTAAACATAGAAAGGAACAGTCAGTACCAGCCACTCCAAAAACATACCGAATGGTAAAGACCATCGACACAATGAAAAACTGCATCGACTATCAGACAAAACAACCAGGTAGCATCAAAATGGCAGGATCAAATTCACACATAACAATATTAACCTTAAATGTAAATGGGCTAAATGCCCTGAACAAAAGACACAGACTGGCAAATTGGATAAAAAATCAAAACCCATTGGTGTGCTGTATCCAGGAAACCCATCTCATGTGCAAGGATACACATAGGCTCAAAATAAAGGCATGGAGGAAGATTTGCCAAGCAAATGGAGAGAAAAAAAAAAAAAGCAGGGGCTGCAATCCAAATCCCTGATAAAATAGACTTTAAACCAACAAAGATCAAAAGAGACAAAGAAGGGCATTACATAATGGTAAAAGGATCAATGCAACAAGAAGAGCTAGAGATCCTAAATATATATGCACCCAGTACAGGAACACCTAGGTACATAAAGCAAGTTCTTAACGACCTACATAGAGACTTAGACTCCCACACAAGAATAGTGGGAGATGTTAACACTCCACTGTCAATATTAGACAGGTCAACAAGACAGAAAATTAACAAGGATATCCAGGACTTGCACTCACATCTGGACCAAGCAAACCTAACAGACATGTACAGAGCTCTCCACACCAAATTCACAGAATATACATTCTACTCAGCACCACATCACACCTACTCTAAAATTGATCACATAATTGGAAGTAAATCACTCCCTGGCAAATACAAAAGAAAGGAAATTATAACAAATAGTCTCTCAGACCACAGTGCAATCAAATTAGAACTCAGGATTAAGAAACTAACTCAGAACCTCATAACTTCATGGAAACTGAACAACTGGCTCTTGAATGTTGACTGGACAAACAATGAAATAAGGCAGAAATAAAGATGTTCTTCGAAACCAACAAGAACGAAGACACAATGTACCAGAATCTCTGGGACACATTTAAAGCAGCATCTAGAGAAAAATTTATAGCAATAAATGCCCACATGAGAAGCAAGGAAAGATCTAAAATCAACACCCAATCATCAAAATTGAAAGAGCTAGAGGGGCAAGATAAAAAAAGCCTCAAAAACTAGCAGAAAACAAGAAATAACTAAGATCAGAGCAGAACTGAAGGAGACAGAGATACAAAAATCCCTTCAAAAAATTAATAAATCCTGGATCTGGTTTTTTGAAAAGATCAATAAAATATACCACTAGCCAGATTAAGAAAAGAGAGAAGAATCAAATAAATGGAATAAAAAACATTAAAGGGGATATCACCACAGATTCCACAGAAATACAAACTACCATCAGAGATTACTACAAACAACTCTATGCACATAAACTAGTAAACCTGGAAGAAATGGATGAATTCCTGGACACTTGCACCCTCCCAAGCCTAAACCAGGAAGCAGTCAAAAACCTGAATAGACCAATAACAAGGGCTCAAATTGAGGCAGCAATTAAGAGTCTATCAACCAAAAAAAGCCCAGGTCCAGATGCGTTCACAGCCTAATTCTACCAGACATACAAAGAGGAGCTGGTACCACTTCTTCTGAAACTATTCCAAACAATGCAAAAAGAGGGAATCCTTCCCAAATCATTTTATGAGACCAACATCATCCTGATACCAAAACCCAGCAGAGACTCAACAAAAAAAGAAAACTTCAGGCCAATATCCATGATGAACATAAACACAAAAATCTTCCATAAAATACTGGCAAACCGATTGCCACAGCATAACTCAAATGTCCATCAACAGCAGAATGGAAAAAATACATGGTGGTATAATCATATATTATTAGAATGGTATGTAACAATGAGAATGAATGAACCACAATATGAATATGTAATTAATTTCTTGCACATAATGCTGAGCAAATGAAGACAGGTTTTAAAAAGTTACATTTTGTATGATTCCATTTATATGAAGTTCAGAATTAAGCAAAACCATCTAAGATGATAGAAGTAAGAACAGAGGTTTCTTTTGGAAGGGTGAGATATGACAGGCAGTGGGCTTGCAGGCATTTCTGAGGATGCTATTAATATTCTATTTCTTGATCTGGGTAATGGTTACAGGGATCTTGTCACTTTGCTAAAATTTATCAGATTGTGCACTTATTATTTATATTCATTCCTGTATAAATGGCATACTCAAATAAAAACTTCTAAAAATGAAATTAAACACAGACACCTACATTGCTTTCCATTTTCCTGCTGCAACGAGAAGCAAATTCTGCTGACGTTGCTGCTTTCGGTTTCGTTTCTAAACTGGGAGCATTTGAGGAAATCTGGCCAGGAGTAATTCACCATCCCCAGGACCGATTCACAGCCTTCTTTTGCGGCCTCACAGAAGGACCTACAGGGCAGGAGTCCATGACTGAAAAAAAAAAAAAAAAAGAGAGAAAGGTGAAAAATTAATGTATACAGAACAGTTTTTGAAATAATAGTGAAATTAAAGTTAATTTATACTTACTATAGTCAGCAACTTAAATTTTTACATTCAGTCCAATGACAATGATTTTAGCTACTCTATTGTCTTGATTCTAGAAGAAATAGCTAATTCTACATCATCTAACTATTTCTTGTAGGTGTATTCATCACAATTTTTTAAAATATTTACTGAGCTAAAATATAGTCATCAGCCTAAAACAGCTTTATTAATATCAAAGGGGAAAATTAACATGGAAATGAAGGCCTTCAAATTGCAAAGGCAGAAGTAGGTCAAAAACAAGTTCTTGTATTTTTATCTTTCCTTTGAGAAATTCAAGTATCTCTGAAAGGCAGCAGAGAGTAAGCTGTTCCATTATTAACTTCCCCAGCCTCCCTGGAAAAGGAACATAATACAGGTGAGTGGCAACTTGGAAGACCTTGTGCAGTTATTTATCTTTTCAGATGTCATCTGCAAAATAAAAAAATGCAAGTATTTGTCTGTTAATAGTAGCCCCTGGAGCTTATCTTTATTCACTTACATGACATGAAACAGTCCTAGATCCACACCTCTGTGAATGGAGATGGGATGCTAACAAAGTCAAGGCCATGAACTTGCTTCCTTGCAGACTCAGGTAACTTTCTACACTACAGCTATAGGCTGCGTCTCTCACCCTGGCTGGTCAACTGGTAAAGGAATTTCAAATAGTTTTAAGGAAGCTGGGAAAGAAAATATACGTGTCAGTTAAATCAAAGTATGTACTTCACAAATGTAGAGTCAACAAGGTATCACAGAATTGTGCAGTATTCGATATGTAACAAACTTTAAACAGTACCTTAAACAATCCATCACATGAAATAGTTCCAGGGATATTCCAGATGGATTTGAGGTCAAACAGCTCCCAATGGCAGAAGCAGGAATAGAATTTTGGTGCTTTAAGTTTCAGGACACATTTTACCTACTCTCCCTAGCTCTTCTCTTATAAGGACCTGATCATTGGGCTTTCAAAACTCCTTGATCAGATAAGCACATTTATAATACCCCATTCATATTTCTACAGATTACAAAAACATAGAGGGATGTGCCAGCCATTGAGATCAAATGGAACAAATAGGGTCTGTAAAATAATCTTGGGGGAGAGATCTTTGTACATAAAAATGAAAAGGGAAACTCAGCCACTACATTCAGAAAAAAATATTTTACCTTCATCTCAGAAAGTCACCTTAAAACTGAGTATCCTTTAGAATACTGATATTCTTATAATTACCTACATACATTTATATGTAACCAAATTCAATAATGAAGATGTTGAAGAAGAGGTTTTGTATTTGAAGGAATTAGCTTCAGCATATAAAATGTGAATTCGTTCAGTGAAGTTACTTGGTATAAAGAAGACACCTGAAATATATTAGATATTTCTAAGACTGAGAAAGGATCACTTAAATAACACTTTTTAAATATTTCCTGCCTGTCCTGAATCTTATCCCAGAGAAGTTAGCAAATATATTTTCTCAGTTAAAACTAGGATACACAATTAAGGAATGTGGAGTATATAAAATTACTTATTCTTTGCCAGACATTGTTCTTAGTGCCACACACGCATCATCTCATTGATTTCTCAGAACAGGATGAGTAATAGGTGTTATTACTCATCCCCAATACACAAATAAGGAAAATGAAGCACAGAAAAATAAGGCATTTGTCCAAGTTCACTGAGGGAATGAGTGTCAGAGTTAGGATTAGAACTCGGGCAGATTGACCCAGGACCTATTCTATCTACTACTGTATTACAGGTAAGTCCTAATTTCATGAATGCATGTCTTGAAAGCACAACACAATTTTTTTTTTTAAATGGAGCCTGGCTTTGTCACCCTGGCTGGATTACAGTGGCACCTGCAAGCTCCACCTCCTGGTTTCAAGTGATTCTCTTGCCTCAGCCTCCCGAGTAGCTGGGATTACAGTGTGTGGCCTCGTCCAGCTAATTTTGTATTTTAAGTAGAGATGGGGTTTCAACATGTTGGTCATGATGGTCTCGAACTCCTGACCTCAAGTGATCGCCTGCCTTGGCCTCCCAAAGTGCCAGGATAACAGGCATAAGCCTCTGCACCCAGCTGAGAGTGCAAATCTTGATATGCACTTTCTGAGTGGCACCATCATATACATGATGAGTGAGATTTCCCTTCATTCTACAAAAACCTAGTAAATGTGCATTGAATCAGTATTTGTCAAAGGGGCTAAGGGACACAAAGAAAGGGTAAAGACATTTCTGCTGTCTTCTGTAGGTGCAAGCCAGCCTAAAGCTGTAAAACAAGCTAGGCTTGTCTGGTGTTCCTCCTTTGCCTCCCAGTCCTTGGCCAGGATCCCAGTGTCCCAATGCCATCCTGATCACCCTGATGCCAGCACCCCACCCAGATGGTCACCTCTACCAGAGTGCTTGAAACATATTATTCCCTTTCTACAATCAAAACTGCCCTCCTAATTGCAGCTGATTTCAATTAGGCTTTCAAATAAGAAAATGGATGAAAAAATACAGAGTAATACATAAGTACAGATGAACACTTAACCCTCCCCAAGACTTTTGCATCATTAGAAGAAGACTGCTCACTGGGGCAAAGGAATCTCTAACTGATGAAATTCCAGATATTATTTAAAGGGTAAAAAAATCATTCAACATTTTTTTGAAGATGAGAAAAATGTCTGCAAAACTGAATAACACTCTGGAGCACAACTCTCCCAAGTGGTTCCTGGAGCTTTCTTCATTTCTGAAAGTAATTTTTTTTTAATCATTCCATATCTTTTCTTAGAATCTTTTAGGGTAACAAAAATGAAGTTTCATGCAGGAGGCCCGCACACTGTTCTCAAGTTCTAAAGTTAAGTCTTTAATTCAGAAATGGACTCACTGTCATTGACTCTTATGGTGGTCATTTATTCTGCAGGAAAGCCTCAGTCTATCACCTGCAGCTTTCACATGGCCACTCCTCCACTGTTTGAGCTTGGGCCAACAGTCCACTCATGCCAAGACTCAGTTTCCTCACTTGAAAAATGAGGGTTTTGGAAGAGCTGGAGTGTGGACCATTTTTCATAGTCTTTTTACTACTAACATTCTGGGTCAAAATTCATTCTTTAAGGCAGTGTTTCTCAGAGGAGCACTGATAATCCCACCAGCTTTGCTAAATTTCAAAAGGTAACAGGCATTTTTCTCAAGATTTGTTCTGGGAATATATAGAGACATTAAAATACCATTAGGCTCTCCATTCTAAAAATAGGGCCTAAGAAAAATGTCTACAGTGTTTCCAAATAGTTCTCTTAAGAGGTATAACCAACTGAGACCCATAAGCTTTAAATTGCTGAACCAGGATATGTGAAATAGTGGCAGAGTATTAATAAATAGCAGCACTTTCAAACAGTGAGCAATATGAGGAGTAATTTGTTCTTGCATTGCATAAAATTCAACTGTCTATGGAAGGTTGAAGCATTTTGCTTTTCATCATGTGGAACACAGTGGTGAGATAGGCCACACTATTTTGGAATATGTGTCTATACCCAGGCAACAGACCAATGACCTTAAAACAGTGGTCTGCACAGGGAAGGAGTCCACTTTGGCTATCTGAAAGCTATTTTTAAAGTGTGATTATTTTAAACTGATGTCTGAAGTAAATTTGGTGTTATGCAAAAGTCCCTAGTACATTTAGATTAAAGTTAAAGCAGAGAGCTTTTATACTACCTCTATTACTATTTGTTGAAACACTTGATAATTGTATGAATAATACACTACATAGTGATAGTGAAGTTTTTATGGTGTTTTCACTAGGAAGGGTGTTCTAAAATGATTTATCTACCAAAAATTGTAGAGTTTATCTATAAAAATTTAGAGAATTTATCTTCCAATAATTGTGTTACAATGCATATAACAAAACTACTGTATAGATTTTATCTGCAAAAAAAACAAGTTCTGATAAGAACATAAAGTTTAAATTTTTAAATAAGTCATAGCTACAAAGCAGGCTTATATGGTTAATGGATTTTTAAGTTTTATAAATCTCTTTTCTCTTAACTTTTTATTTTGAACTACTGTTAGACTTACAGAAAAATTATAAATATAGTGCAGAAAATTTCCATATATCCTTGATCCAGAGTCCCCTAAGGTAAACATCTTATATAACCATAGTATGATTATTAGAACCAGGAAATTCGCATTGATACAATACCTTTAACTAGACTAAGGACCTTATTTGAATTTTGTCAGGATCTCCATTTAAGATCCTACATTGCATTTAATTGTCACTTTTTACTTTTGGCAAATAAACTAATCTTTAAATATATTAGGAGAACTCAGAATTTAAAACTCCTTTTTCTTGGAAAAAAAAAAAACAAAACAGAATCTTTGTGACAGGTGGATTTTAAGATGCCCCCCAATGATCTCTGCTTCCTGGTATTCATGCCCTGTATAATTCCCTCCTTTGGAGTGTGAGTTGCCTGACTGATTTGCTCCCAACCAATAGAAGGTAATGGCATGCCAATTTCGTCATTAGTCTACATATGATTGTGACTTCTATCTTGCTAAGAGACTCTCTCCCTTATTGGCTTTGTCATATTGAGGAGACCCACATGGCAAGGACCTGAAGGTGGCCTCTGGCTGATAGCCACCTAGGAACTAAGGCCCTCCAACCAAAGCCTTTAAGGAAATGAAGTTCTTCCAACAATCACATGAACTTGGAAGTTGATCCTTCCCAAGTCAAGCCTTCAGATAAGACCCCAACCCTGCCAACATCTTTATTTCACCAATGTGACAGACCCTAAAGCACCTGGCTGGGCCACTCTCAGATTTTTGACCCACAGAAATTTGTGCAATAATATATGTGTGTTGTTTTAAGCTGATAGGTTTGTGGTAATTTGTTATGCAGCAATATATAACTAATACACTTTTCTTGACACATCACGTTGTCAGA